TCGACAGCGTGCCCTCGCATCAGAACAGTCATCAAACCGGCGCTATGCAGAGCGAGCTTACAAGTACCGGCCAGTGAAGGCGATCGAGTTTGAACTGCCACACCCACAGTGCATCGTGTATTTGGACCTAAAGCAGGAGGAGTGTGTACATCTGTTCCCATCTGGCCGAGTCTACTCCCAAGCATTCCACCTTGGTGGGCAGGGTTTCTTCCTCTCAGCTCACTGCAACATGGACCAGCAGAGCTCCTTCCACTGCTTCGGCCTCTTCTTGGGAATGCAAGAAAAGGGTTCGGTAAGTTTCACGGTGGACTACGAATTCGCTGCGAGGGCAAAGCCATCAGGGGAGTTCATCAGCAAATACAAGGGATACTACACCTTTACCGGTGGCAAGGCAGTTGGATACAGGAACCTATTTGCCATCCCATGGACTTCATTCATGGCTGATGACAGTCTCTACTTCATAAATGGTGTTCTTCATTTGAGAGCCGAATTGACCATCAAACAACCGCAGCAGCAGCAGCAGCTGCCGTAATTTTTTTTTTTTTTTCTCGGATGTAACCAAGTTCTATTTTCACGTAGCTCGAATAAAACTTGCCTCGCTCTTTCTATGGATTCTCTGTATTTACATATTACTAGTTTGAGCATGAGGAACTTATTTCGAGTGAAATGATAAATTGCTTACAACATGGAAATCAGCGTATTTCTTTTTGTGTGTGTTTCAACCTCTTCTAGCAATCATAGAAGCAAAATCCAGATAGCGTGATGTGTTGTTTCAGAAATTTCCAACTACAACAATCTAATTGAAGCCAATTTGCCTAGAAATTAGATAATAATGTGCCGAAGTAATCATTAGAACGAGAATGTGCGTACAACATTTGCCTTCCAATGCATCACGACAGCCTACTGTTTGCCGGATTCACCTCATCTGAAAACCCTTCCAATGCGCCTTCAGTTCATGGCTTCATCAAATCCCCAATCCGATACTCAAATGAAGTAGTTTCCATTCGTTCATCGATCCAAACATGCAGTAGTTTCTAACTGCAGGTTGTGCGCATAAATTTGACGTACTGCGCCAGTAGCTGATTAAGAAGCAATGCGATTTATAATATTCTACGAAGACATATTCTATGAAGATGATGAAAAGAATACTAGATTTTGAAACAGAAACTAATTAGAAGTTTCGTGATGTTCGAATCCAACAATCACCGCACACACTCATCCGTACTGTACGTCTGAGGTTGTTTTACTTTTTAAGTGACTATAGAATACAGGAAGATAGAGATCAATGGATTCGACGAATTCTAGAAATAGTGCACAGATGAATGGAGCGTGAACAGAAAGAGAGTATCAAGATTTTCTAGATCAAGAAGCTTAGTCCAGAAATGTCACGGACGACTATCACTTGCCTATAATACTTTCTTTAATCGGATCGTTGATCGCTTATACTTATTTATACAATTTATTTAATACTATTTTTTATCTTATTATATATTTTTTCTTGATTTTTAACCTTAGACCGTTCATAAGATTGCACAACAATGGTTTACTAAATCGGGCAAAACTAAGTCAAAATCATCTCATTTTTATGTGTCACGGTCTAATTTCTCAAGTTTATGATGTAACGTAAAACGTCAATCATCTTATGCCCTGAAACATTAGGTGGCATGGAATCAGATAATGCTTTGGGGCTAGTATTAGATCTCATTTGGATTCACAAGTTTCTATGTAAAATATGTGTGGACTTGTCTAATACTATGACACCAAATTGAGCAGTTGTTTGTGGACTTGCTATCAAAGATTTAGCTGATTTTACTAAAATCGTATGGCACCATTGTGTATCTATTTATAAGAGTCAGCCTCCCTAAAATCTCTTATGATCCCGTAAGAACCTAAAAGAAAAGATGAGTTAGAGGAAACATTTAAATTATAAATTATAAACATAGACTCTACAAGCTATGAGCGGTCATATGATAAATGGTCCAAGATGACACGCTACGATCAAAAATCCCCATAAGAACCATCATGACATTACTACAAAACAAGACAGTGAACCAGCCCTAGATATACTACCCCAAAGGCTCATCCAGCCACATGTCACCCGGGTAGCTCTTGGGTGTTGTACTGGCTAACACTTTGCACTACTTTAAGAAACTAGAAAACCCCCTAGAATAACTGCTTAGATGGCCTATTTCTAGACAATTTTATCTTTGCGCGATAGCTACACACAACCTACATTTATAAGCTTAAAATGACCATAAGAGTTAACTAAAATAGGACTACTAAGTCTATTATATACCCTCTACAAACTATACAAAGCATGAACAGTATCGAAAGATATGAATATACACAAGCATTACATCAAACACTCTATTTATAGTTTTGTACATGACATTCTCCCTCACTTATTCATTTGATATTCTCGTTAAAGCCTTTGCGGATACTGCATCTTCTTACCTTTATTGAATCTTCAATCTTTTGCTCCAGTTGCAAGACACCTTTTGGCTCCAAACTACTCTCCACTACTATTGTTAAGCAGTCGAACTTTGATCCACCGTACTGCTTTAATTAGCCAATGACTTTGCGTGGGGTTGGTCAAGTTATACTATTTTTTATTGGTTCCTACAGATCCTTCAAATAAAAGAAAATACTATTATTATATGCAAGTCTTTTAAACATTTCATGCCGCTTGAACTGGATGGATACCTATTGGAGTTTTAACGAGTATCGCCTCATACATTTTAAAGTTTTTGAAGCTTTTCCTTCGTAAAATTTATCCATTGATTCATCTTCTATTTAGTTGTCATCTCCAAGTAGGTTCACATCACTTTCAATTTCAATTGGTATTCTATTGAAAAATAAAGCGAATAGTTTACTCTCGGTAGAATCAATCACTATTGGTGAGGATTTGACACTGTTATTTTTCATTTAGTTTCTTTAAAAAGTCTATGAAAATATACGGAGGTATTCTACTTTGCCCATTCTCTTAAAAGTTAAGAAGATAAAAGTTATTCGACTTCTCTCGCCTCCTCAAGATTTGTACTCCATGTATTGAACTAATTATTAGCCTTCACTTACTCTTTGCTCACACTTCCGAAACATCCAAAGTGTTTGCACTCGTATTGAGTTAAATACTTTAATTCACCTTCTAATGGCTATTAAACTTCTAGAATGTAAGAAGTTTTACCCAAAAAGAGAAAAATTTTACCCCGACATAGGATTGTACCGTCTTCTTCATCATTTATATTGCATACTCCTCTAAGTAGAACAGATATAACATCGCATATGATTTATTTCGCCCCTTAGTCGAGCACTCCTATATCGATCTGAAGCCTCCTACTTTTAATTATTTTGATGAGAAGCCCAATAACATCAGTCTTACAAAGTTCTCTAGCCTTTGCCCTTCAACCATAACTCGATACTTAGAGTTTACCTTTACATGCCTTATCTCCTTGGCCCTTTTATAACCAAGCGCTCTCCTTCCAATGAGAACAAGGGATCAATAACTCCACAAAAGTTCTGCCTCTACAGTACCATGGTGCTGTTATGCCCATGGCCCTACTATTTGTTGCTTTGCATTTGTGTCTCTTTTTTCGTGATTGGTATATCTGCGTCTATAGCACTGTGGCACTCCTCCAAGTCCATTTCTAGCTAATGCTTCATGTCGTTCTATTCTCCTTTGTTTTCTTAGTAGTAACATTTATTTACTTAATATTGTTCTCTGACTTACCTGACCCTCTTAAACGAATATAAGCTCTGGAATAGTCTAACTCTATAATTGCTCTGAGGTATCCTCAGTATTATCAAGTCCTCTTCAAAAAACTCACTGATATTTGTGGTTGAATTTTTTTCTCAGTGTTACACAACCCTCATATATTGATAAATAAGGCTTTCATCCGATGCATGCACGGAAGACCCGTCTTTATGGTACCATGACATTCACTCCTTGAATGTATAACCCTTCTTTTCATCATATTGTTCACTAAAGTGAAGCTCTTAGTAACTCCTTATCATACCTCTATTTGATTATGTCCCTCGCGTGACTCCTCCTGTGTGCGTCGTATTGTATGAAATTATTTATTAATACCCTTCGCTCATAAAGAGGTATTTTTTTATTTTGATTTATGATGTCTAAACTTGTCAATGTACTTTTCTATGTAGTCTATCTTATCGCTTGCTTGTAGGTGATGCGAGATTCCTCGTATTTGATCGACGAATTATCATCGACAACTTATTATCGATGATAGCATTGTTGAGGTCGATGCCCTCCAGTGGTCACTACCCCAATCGTAGGCAACGATTGCATATAGGTGCTACTATTTATAACCAAAGCGCGATAGGGTATGATAGCTAACGGTGGTTGCATGCACCCTACGGCGACTATAACACTGTCTTTGACTAGCTGCTGCAATAACGTCACTATGACATTTGTTGGTCGCAACAAGTGTCTATTGAACATTTAAGGTCATGGTTCCCAATGACTGCACGACAAACTTGTGAGCACAGCTACATGCCGTGGCGATCCTGGTGGTCGCCAATCGATGCACAACCGTGCGTGGGTGTGGTAGCACAACACAATGATGATAAGGTCTCCAGTCGACACCATCAGAACAACTTTGCCATTGCAAATGGCACACAAGCGGTAGACGATCGATGATGATCCACGCACATGAGTGCAGTGTAACACAACGACAACTACTAGAGCGATTGCAAGGGAATCTTAAGGTTTTACTACTAAATATATAGTTTTACCCCTCTAAATCCTTTAATTCTTGTTTATTTCCTTTCGATAATTTTATCTTTCATAAATTATATATTTTTATTATATGTCCGAAGGAGAAGACAAGTTTTGTTTTCTTTGCATCTCACAATGGCAGAGTTTTGTTCTCCTTTCATATTGATATCGACTGTAGCTATCAAATTCAACGACAGTGCAGCTAGATATTAGATAAAGACTTCTTGAATGATATCAAAAGGTACGTATTGATCTATTGTTATTTGACTGAAGTCTTTAATAATAAAAATTTTCGTATAATAATAACATAATTATGAGTTTTTCTTTCTTACATACTCAATTTATTCGGTCTGACTAAATTAATTCTAAAACACAGAGAAGCAAAGGACAGCATCAGTGTTTTGCTACGCGGGCTTCGAATCCACCATTCTCCCTCTTCACCACAGCGTAAGGCACGTAAGTCCCCATTATCTTATCCCATGTCACGAAGAAGGGTTGCGCGAAGTTGCGCTTGTTGCCGGCGAGCTGGTGATGGATGTCATGGTACGCCGTGTTGTTCCCGAACAGGATGTGGAAAGGGTTCCACGGAAGCATCAGCCCGCAGTGGTCGTCGATCCCCTTGACGGTGGCGAAGGAGAAGAAGAGAGTGGCCGTCGTCTTCGACATCCCTGACACGAAGTAAGCCAGCGCGCCGGCGACGGTCTCGGTGATGATGCCGTCCACCGGGTGGTTGTACTGCGCAGCAAAGGCGTAGGGGGCGACGATCCGGTGATGCCACGAGTGGAACTTGCGGTAGAGGAACTTGTTGTGGTGCATGTATCTGTGCACGAAGTATTGCCATGTGTCGAAGACGATCATGGCCACCATGAACTGGCTTGCCGCCGCAAACCACGACGTGTTTGTGCTGGTCTCCGGCTTGGCGTCCTCGTGTGTCAGCTGCAGAGGTATGGCAGTCGTCAGCATTCAGATTCACCGTTATACAATCCAACATTGACGACATGTTAGAGCTCTCGATCCAATGAGGTGTGTGCCTTTATTAGCTCGAGCGAGCAACAGGTCATTCTCAATAGCTGGGAATTCTGTGGCCCACAAGGAGAGGACTTTTAAGGAGTCCAACATTGCATGTCGCCTTTTTCAACGGTACGCAAAGCGATCATAAATGTCAACTATTTCTCTCGTAAATGCTCTCGGAAAGTGTCACATCCGTTGCCGTCACTGTAGACAAGAATGGCGCCATAAGTCACCTTGAGAAGACATCTGCGAACGGATCTGATTCCACTGGTCAAAAATCCAAATAATTACTAGGAATTTTTCTCGTGTGTTTTGTTCTATCGTCATAAACATCAACTAATTGAAGGGGTTGACTGGCGTTATCTCTTGCATATTTTGTTTCAATCACAATAAATATCAACTAATTGAAGGTGTTGAGTAGCGTATGCGTTTTGGTCTTCTAATCACAATAAATATCAACTAATATCTCTGGTGTGTTTTGTTCTGATTATAATAAATATCAACTTTTATTTCGATCATAATAAATATTAACTATCTTAGTTGATAAAGATCTTGATAGTTTGTCGTAAGATTTAAAGTTTAAATCATGTCTTCGCTTTGTAAAACAAATAATTAACATAGACCCAATCAATAAATTGACTAGTATTTGACCCCAATCAATCGAACAAGATTCTCATGATCCCATTGTATCTTGGACTATATGCTTTTAGGTGTGGAAGAACATGGAAGTCGGCACAACCTGAGTAGAGAAGGAAGTGTCAAACTAGGGATGGTTGGTATGTTTGCCTGTACAGAAGAACAATGATGAGTGAAGAAGGATTACATGGGCGATGAGAATCCGGAGGGGATGCCTCGACTCCAATGTGTTTAACGTTTTAAGTGAAGAGGAGGTCGTCCAATCAATGAATACTCTAAGAGAGAGAGAGAGAGAGGTGGTGATGGCAACTGCTGAGTTGGGCATTTACGTCTACACGGACTCAACTGCTACGAAGAAGACATGACAAGACAAGAATCCACATATTTATAGCCATCAGTGCAAAATTTGACGTGTGGTCCAGAAGAGATGGACGACTAAATTGGCTCTTATGATGCTAACGAGCGTCTACTCGTCAAAAATAATCAACTGATGTAGTTTATTAAACTAGAATTCTTATTATAGAATCAAAATGCTTGCACTCGATCATGCTATGTAACGTGCGGAAGCTGTAATGCTTTGTTTTTGAAGGAGATAAACATCGCCATGAAGAAAGCTTCGGACTGAAGTAAATGTTAGAATCATGATGCAAACTAGGAGAAGATGATCACTTGGCCAGAAAGAAGAGGAATGAGAAGAGAAGAGAAGGGACCTTTGTGACAACCACAGTGATGGTTGCCTGAAGCGCCTGCTGGAAGAGGACCCCTTTCAACACAGCTCTCTTCGAAGCCAAGTTCTTGGTCTCCTCATCTCTCCTGGAGTGCAACCTGTACTTCTCCGAGGAACCCAGCACCTCGTAGATCCCTGAGTAAACCCAATACACCACTATGGGTATGATCATCAGCAAGAAATCATCATATGCTATGAACTCCATCTATAAGTTTTGTGGAAAATGAGAGAGAGAGAGAGAGAGAGAGAGAGAGAACTGTGACAGGATTTGGGGAGTTTGATATGTTTGGGACTTGGATGCTGTTGCATGTTATATAGAGCAGGCTTCGACAGGGAAGCTTTGATGAAGCTAACCACATCTTTGTTTTGGTCTAAGAAACCTACGCAGATGAATTGACATCCATTGAAGGAAAATAAATGATAAAAGAAATATAAAAAACGCGGATATGTCGTCAACTCGTGGACGGCAATGCTAATATGCCTTCCTTAGCTACAAACTACACGTAAAAAATACACCGAATTGTTGACTTGAAATATAGCTACTGTTGTAGATAAAACCTGCATGCTAATCAATGCATGTGATCGTTTTTCCACCATTTTCATCTTATTTTATTCTTGCCACAAGATATTTCTTCACGTTGCTCGTCACTAGGTCAATACCTAGTTGCCCATACACGTAATGTGAGGAGGCCAACCTAGTTAAAGCTGCATGTTAGGTGTTGTTTCAAATATTGATGACGTAACGTGAATTAAATGGATCGAATTCACTAGTTACTTGCCACCTACCCACCCAAGATGTTGATGATCGTCTTCTTTGGACCTGGCAATTCGCGAGCATAGTTGGACCGGTTCTCCATAGACGTGGCGTGGCTTTTAATGTGAAAGCCGTGGCTTTCACATGAGACGATCGGAGGAGAGGGAAGTATTAATTGGTCAAGCAAATGACGAGGAGATGGCATCGAAGATTGGACGGCTACTGGCTCGGTGGTTGGCTTTGGAATGTTGTTGTTTTACGGGTTCGGGAGGGAAGTATCGACCGATGGAGTAACTCCGACCGTGAGTGGATTAATGAACATGGCACGAAGGATTGCCGGGGTCGGCCACCGCTCACCGGTTGACTTGGACTTTTTGTTCTGGACGGTTGACTCGGAGGAAGTGGTCAACCGATCTCTTCTCTCTTCCTGGTTTTGTTTGTATGTACTCCCGAGTTAATACTTCATAACAATTCGACTCGAATGCAACAGCGTTCTGCTGCATCGAGACTTGATCATGTTGAAGGTCGTTGAATGGATCAATCCGGAACGCCTAAAGAACATTGGACTCCGTCATCGTATGTTCTTTACAGTTGATTGTTGCATGCGGGTGGTTGTTCGTTAACTTTCTCGAAATCCATGCCAAAGTCAACGACGCAATCAAATCGGCAATATCAAAGGATTTTCGTAGACACACCCATAAACAAAATAAAACAGATATCGTTTTTCTTCCCGGTCAACGGTCGTCCATCAACTAGAATGTTTCAACGACAGGTTGCAGTCCTTTGGGTTTATGTCGATCGAAAGGGAGAAGCCATTCACGGTTCTTTGTTTCAAGAATGAGAAGAAGAACCTGTCATGAACATGAGCTACTCAACTTGCAAGATGAACACAAATGGACTTCAAAGTATGTCGAGCCAGACTTTGAATAGATGTCTGTGACGTGGTAAACCTTTGGAGTTGACAAGATGGACCAAAACAAAGACATTATCTCAAGCAGGAAAGATGGTAACTAAAAGCTCTACACAGCAATGTCAATGCTTCTGCTGCTGCTGCTGATCCTCCCAGTGGATGAACAGGTGAGGGATCGACAGTCAATCTGAAGGCTTCAAGGCATTAAGTGTGATAGTTGGCTGGGAGCAGTAGTTGACTAAACCAACCAACGTACTCGACAACCCTCGATCTTATAGTAGATAAATCTACTTCTTTTGACTGCCTCGCTTGAGTCGAAAAGCTTCGGAACCCACATGGAGAGTTATCTCATGGAGATCAACGAGCAATTCGTGCACGGTTTCTGACAAAATGACCGCTGACTTGGCCTTCTCTTCTCATGGCAGCACATAGGAATTCATCAAAGCATTCCTCCTCGTTACAGTAGCTAGAACTGATACCTCCCAGCATAAATGTCATCGCACGACACAGTAGAAAGAAACCCAAAGGAAGGCAGCTGACATGAGAAATATAGATCAATGGCCACTGCAAATACTGAGTTCCAGGGACAGATGGTCTGCCCAGTGCTCATCAAGGCGAAGTAAATGCTGCACTGTCGGTGCAGAAAAATTTAGATCAGCGTAATGACATATCGAGCGCTCAATTAATGGAGAAGATGTACTTGGAAAACAGTAGATCCAAGTTGAAAAGGAAGAATATACGGTAAACCACACTAACGAAACTAGAAAGAACACAAAGACAAACTAATGATGTAGAAACTGGTGGTGGATCTTCCCACACGCAGACGTGCAATAAGTTATACATGTTTACGTACGCAGATTGAGATCGAGGAAGCTGGAAAGAAGACACCGACAACACATAAAAGTTTAGGACCATAGTCAAGCAATCCTTCGTAAATCTCATCCATATACGTTAAATATAAACGAGAGAAGGGCTCGAAAGAAACCAAACACCAACCACCTCATTCGATCGTGAGGTCATGCACTCATCCGAGTCACCGTGTTCCACAATGGAAATAGGATTCATACTTGCCATAACAATTCAAGTGGAACAAAGTCAACATGGCCAATTTGTAGTCAACCGCTTGACGGCGCGTGAACCGGGAAAACTAAGCGGGCCGGCCCAAATTCCATTCACGTGTCGACTACCGACACCGGCCCGAAAGCAATCATTAGGGTCACGCGCGTAGCACGTGACCAACACGTCACAATCACAACCGTCCTTATCGCGTACCGTCTCGCAAATAAACCAATCGGTAAATAGAAGTCGGCCGGTCGATCGCCTCCCTCCTTTCGTTTTCCTTTGGTCCAACGGCGCGACGACGGAAAGAGAGAAAGGAAGAGGAATCCGAGCGACCCTCGTCAAAGGTAGCGATCCTCCCTTTCTCGCTCTAGCATTTTGCGGGCTCCGATTTTTCCCTCGTTTCTTTTGGATCAAAGTCTTCTGCCAACCTGATAGCTTTGTTCTTCCGATGGATCTCTGTTCCTTTCTAGATTTTGGACGGATTAGGATCGGGTAACCGTCGGCCATGGCTTCCAAGCGGATCCTCAAGGAGCTCAAGGATCTCCAGAAGGATCCCCCCACGTCTTGCAGCGCAGGTATCTCGGATTCCCATGTCTCCCGTCTCTTATCCCTTGAGAGTTTTTCTTTTCCCTATATTACGAGGTTGATTTTGGCTGTAGTTCTCGATCCGCTTGCTAAGCATTGTTTTTAGGCCCTGCTGTTGTTGATGCTTCTCTTATTGATGAGAATAGTTATCGTCTTACTGGTTTTTGGTGTTCGGATTTTAGCTGATATTAATCTCGTGACTCGAATTCCTTGGATCCTCCTTTCTTCTACCTTCTGTCTTGGTTTAGGAGATTGGACGTCTGGTTGTACCTTTAAATTTTTGACGTTTATAGACGCATTGCGATCATGGTATAGGATGAGATGATTTGAAAAGATTGTTCTTTTAATGGATAATTGCATCTCGAAGAGTTGTTTTGGTATTCTTGTTACTTAGCAAATACCATACGGGAAGTATAGAGGCTATTAAATGTAGACTAGCTGGAAAATTGTTACATCATAACTTTTATGAGCGAGGGTGAACCTGGCGTCATGATTTTCTCAGATATAAGATATTCGATGTGTGTTTCTCTCTCGCTTGAGTTTTTTTTCCCCCTGAATTTTCTTATGATGTGGGAAGATGGATTATCTGCCGCGTCCTTTCTTGAGAGAAGAACGCTGAGTGAGTTTGCTTTTCAAGGTCAGAGGGTGCACACCGGTTCCCCAAGGCTTCAAATCGATAATAAGTGATGGACTGATGTGAAGAGGGAAATAAGAAGAAAAGAGAAATAGGATTTAGAAAGTAGCCATGTTAAGCTAAAGGTTAAGGTTCCACTTGTGGCATATATGTATGCAGAAGCATATGTGGTTCAATTAAAATATATAAATAATATAATTAAGTATAAATGGAGAAACAAACAATCAAATCCAAGATTTTGATAGGTGGACATAGTCAAAAGGCTAACTAGATGAAAATTACAGGATGCTGTTTGTACTCATTTGAGAATGTAATTAATAGGTAAGTAAAAAAAATTGGGTGAACATGTCAGGAATATTATATTATCATAGAACAGAACATAATTATAGTATTAAGACAATAATAGTTGAAACAACATATTAAGTTAATAGTAGTAATTAACACAATACTAATATTAATACGAATGAAAAATAAACAAGCTGGCAGAACTATTCTGCAAGAATGCCATTTTCTCGTCACATCTGTCACATATGTACAAGTTAGAACATTGCTTGATGAATTTATAATTGTATTTTTGTTTGTCTCTTTTAATGTGTGTGTACTATCTTCAACTTCCATCATCTTCATCCTTTAATTTATAAATACCAGTAATTTCTAGATTTTAAGTGCATAAAGCATGTGATACATGGAACACATTATGGCACACTACTGTACTCTGTAAATCTGGTTGGTTGTTGAGCTTATTTATTTTTCAAGTTGTGCCATTGTGGTAAGCCTAACTTGTATTTTGAATTTTAGATGATGATCTCTTATGTCATAGCAAAATTTTTTGCATGTATTGGCATTTGACAGGTCCAGTGGCTGAAGATATGTTTCATTGGCAAGCAACCATAATGGGTCCACCTGACAGTCCATATACAGGAGGAGTCTTTCTGGTTACCATACACTTTCCTCCAGATTATCCATTCAAACCACCTAAGGTATCGCGAACACTAAATTTCTAGGATTTGAGCAGCTTTTTTTCATTTGTCAAGTCTGCCGTCAGTTTTTCTTTTGGCATATGTTCTGTCATTTCACTGTGTCAAGCACTTCCCTATTACTAACCTAATAAATGTGAGGATATTCATAGAAACTGGCCACCTATCTGCTTTATATATTGATCATCACCACCAATATTTTAGTCCAGAAGCATCGGTTTTGAACAACCTGACTTTGAAAAATTTGATTGTATTGGTTATTTGACAAACATGGGTGATTCATTATACCATTTTTCCAGCTTATCATGTTTGCGTTCTGCAGGTTGCTTTCAGGACTAAGGTTTTCCATCCAAACATCAATAGCAATGGAAGCATTTGCCTTGACATCTTGAAAGAGCAATGGAGTCCGGCTTTAACCATTTCCAAGGTTATTTTTGTCTCTTTCTTTGCATTGATTGTCATTTATTAAGTTGGATTCTCAGAATGTGTTATTCATTGGAGATTTACTGCAAGTAGTCAGATTAAGGAAAAGATAGCATATGGACAATTTAGGGAAGCCTATATTCCTATTTTGCAACTTTGCTATTATCATAGGAGAGCCCGGATTGGTGAACGAAGGGTGGGCTTGACCTGAAACAAGGAACCTTCAGGTGTAACCCAATTGTTGATACCTGGCTGCGTCTAAGCAAAGTGCGAATGTTGCTGCAAACCCATTTAGTTGATCTGTAGCCATTTGCCTGCTTGAATGTCCAACATGATGAGTGATCTTCTTGTTGCAATTGCCAAGTTGTCAAGTTGTCTCATCAGTACATTTGAGCCAGCAAAGAACCATCTTTCTTCCTTTCCTAACCTTTCTTTTGTTTAAGCAAGTCTAAGGGCATTTCGGTGATGACATTTGGCAGGTGCTGCTATCAATCTGCTCCCTGTTGACGGATCCAAACCCAGATGATCCATTGGTACCGGAGATTGCCCATATGTACAAGACAGACAGAACCAAGTATGAGGCCACTGCAAGGAGCTGGACCCAGAAGTACGCAATGGGCTAACGCGAGAGAGAGAGAGAGAGAGAGAGAGAGAGAGAGAGGT